GGTTGGTTGGTTAATTTGTAGGTTGGTTGGTTGGTTAACCACCTGAACCTGAGATGGACCACTGGATTTTGGAGTCGTGTGAATGAGGACAACCTGACTGTTACAGTAGATGACCTAAACGAGCCTGAACGGTTTGGTCATCTTCAACCAGGACATTATTAATGAACAAGCTGAAGTCCAGGCTGACTCTGAGGACATATGGCAACATGGCCGCCGCCGCTCACCGCTCTGATGCGGCGTGTACAGCGGTTTGTCCGTCTGGATGAACAGGAATCCGTTGGAGCGACTGACGGCGATGGACAGGTGCTGGTTGATCTCTGTTGATTGGACGTGGAGGATCACATGACTCACACTCTTATCGAGCTGACGTGGAAACAGCTGGAGGCACAAAACAAACAGTGACCGCCGTTATTTAGGATGTAACCAGAAAAACTGCAGCCGTTTGCTGTTCAGGTTATTGTACAGCTTGGTCTGAACATAAAGCAGCAGCTCCTGGATGTTTCTTCCTCCTGTCTCAGGTTCTACTGCAACAGAAAGTCTTGTCTTCTGTCAGTGGGACACAGTTGGAGTGACAGAAATGAGCAACAACAAGGCAAGTTTTTGATTACTGACTTTATAGAAAATGGAAAAAAAAAAAGGAATCAACATATTGGAGACAATGGAGGCTCGGCATGGAGCAGATGTCATGATTCCCATTTGAAGCTCGTTTCCATATTTGTCTCCTCACAGGAGACACATTTTACAGAATCTGGTTTAATCTGGTTTTAAAAAATGAAACTGTTTTTGATTAAATATCAAGATTTAGACTCAGATTTTGTCACATTCAAACATACGGTCTGAATATGCAAAGTCCAACGGGTCCTTCTGGTTCTACAGGTTCTGGCTGATGACTCAGTCATTCTGGTGAGATTTGACAGAAAACTTTGGTTTCTAGATTCAGAGCATCGGTTTTTACTCATCCTGTAAACTCTGTGTGCAGCGTCTCACCCGGACTTTGGCGGCGGCCTGGTGGTTATTCTGGGCATTCAGGGTCACGACCTCCCGGGCCAGAACCACATGGTCCGGAGCCATAGAGGTCTTCAGGAAGACGTGGACGATCACTTCATCTGTGAAACCGAAGAGCTGCAGCAGAACCGTCTCGACGGCGTCCAGCCGGAGCGAGAGAGGAGCCGTGATCAGATACCTGAGAGGAGACGGATCGGATCGGATGTTTGTTGATTCATCATCGGTTTCTCTGTCCAGAGGTCATTTCAGGTTCTGTTTGGGCTCATGTGGCAAAGTCAGCCTCATGTGTTGGTCAATGTCCACATGAAGACATGAAGCTCCTATAAACCAGCACCTAGAACCTGTGAACTCAGGTTCTGGTTCCTACCAATGATCCACATCAACATCTGGTCTGAACATGTAAAACCTGGAACCTTGTCTGGTCCAACTTCACCACATCAGGTTCTGCTGATGTTAGAGCCTCAACAGAACCATGGGTCCATCCATAGACAGACACTGATGGGAACTTTCTGGATCAGCGCCACAAAAGTTTGAAAATTTTGCACTTTCTTCTATTTTCAAGGACCAGTAAATAAGAAATGGTTCCTCTGTGGATCCACTGAGTGGTTCTGGTCCGTTAGAGACGGTTCTGTCTGTGTCTCACCACATTTACGGCTGTTGGAGTTTAACAGCCTGAAAACATGGCGTCACAGGTAAAACGTCTTGTGGTTTTTTAAATGGAACAGTTCTCAGAACCTTTCATAGAACCTAGTTTGTGGCCCGAACAACACGTCAACGAGGACAGAACTGAATCTGAGCGACGGTTCTGCTGAACTCTGTCTGACCTGAGACCAGCTGAGCCGTCATGGATCACACATTAAAACAGGTGCTTGTGTGTAAAAGGACTGTAAAGGTTCATTCCACCTAAAACACTACGTTCTGTTCAGGTACTGGTACTTTTAAGGGTCCAGTTGCAGAGAGAGCAGTTGAACTTCTCCTCTGGGTTCTACTAAAGGTCCAGTTGCTTTTTACTGAGGCTGCCAGGTTTCGATATCCAACACAAACTAACACAACCACAGGTGAGCATCACCGCTACGAAGCATCCACCAACACAACAGCACTGACGACCGACTTACGATCTGGAATCAGCCTCCGTCCTCCAGCAGAGACCCAACACGCTGAGCAGGACCACGCACACCTTCATCCTGCAGGACGGACGCACACTGAGCCCTGCAGACTCACAACTCACCCACAAAACTCCCAAAGGTACATTTAGCTGGTTATTGATCAACTCAGCTGTTGGCAAACCCCACAGTGGACTCATCGGAGATCAGGACTGACGGGAATTCCTCTGTGTGTTTGTGAGTAACAAAGGTGAGTTTGCTCAGGCCGGGCTTTCTGTTCTTACCAAACACAGTCGGATTCCTGTTATCGGCTGCAGCTCTGCCGTCAGATTTGTTGAATCCTCTTCGCTCCAGCGTCGTGTGTCTGCAGCGTTTTCACGACTCCCGTGTTTCATCACCTGGACCGCCTGGTCGCTGCAGACAGGAAGTAGCTGCTCTGGACCACAAACGCTGGCCAAGAAACACCTTTAAAACTTCAAGTGCTTCCACAGAAACGAGTGATTTGGGTGGAATTGACCTTTAAATACGTTATTGCTCGTCCAGTCCAGCAGGGGGCGCTGTTGTATCAAACAACGTCTGCTGCAGACTCCTTCACTGAATGTGTTCCAGGACATTTAAGCTCCACGCAGCTTTTTTTAAAATACTTTATTTGTGAATTTTCTAATTTTTACAAACACAACCGAAGAAGAAAAAACGGATGTAATGCAAAGAAAAGAAAAGAAAAGAAAAGAAAAAAAAGAAAAGAAAAGAAAAGAAAAGAAAAGAAAAGAAGAGAAAAGAAAAGAAAAGAAAAGAAAAGAAAAGAAAAGAAAAGAAAAGAAAAACCCAGACAGGGAAAAGAAATAGACAAAAACAAAACAAAGCAGTTTTCATGAAAAGCAGGAGTCAAGCAAGAAAGAGTCCAGGTCAGGCCAAACAGAGCCGAGTCCAGAGGTTAGAAATCCAGGATGTGGATCCTAAAGGGGGGCACCAGATCAGGTCGAGGGCATCAGGATCGGTTCCACGCTCAGCCAGATAGAACAAGAGTGAATAATTTGCTGCTTGAGAAAACTGAGAGGAAAAAATAGGAAAATAAAACATAGACCTTTTCCTCCTCATTACAAACGACCTTCTTAGTCCTAATAAGGTCAATAAATGGTCCCCAGACCTGAAGGAGCTTAGAGTGGGCGTTGAACATCGTATACCGTATTTCTTCAAGGTAGAAACAGGAGAACATGTCATGCAGCCATCTTCTGAAGCAAGGAGGAGGAACAGATCTCCAGTCCTTCAGAAACCATGAATGAGAGGGTTTGCTGTACGTCTGCTGGACGTGTCAACTCAGAACAACCCAGCATCGCCAGAAGACAGTCAGGATCTAACTGCCTGTTGTACATATTGCTGTATGTATTAAATATGTCACACCAATAACTCTTGAGTTTGGGACAGGACCAGAAAAGATGGCCAAGGGTCCCATCACCTGACTTGCATGTGTCACAGGTGGGAGAGGCTGAAGGGAAGGTCCTGCTCAGTTCAGCTTCAGAGAAGTGCAGTCGGTGGATGACTTTGACCTGGATGAGTTGAAGTCTTGCATTTATGGAACAAGATTTAATTCTCTCTAATGCTTCTGTCCAAAGTTCTTCTGCAATGTCCTCCCCGGTACCTGAAGCCCATTCCTGCTTGAGATGGAGAAAGGAGGCTGCCTTGGAGAAAAGTTCAACAAACTGTGAAATCAAACGTTTGGAGGTGGGGATCTGTCATCGGGTTGTAGAACTGGTGCTGGGCGGGTACAGGTTCAAACTGTGGTCTAGTTTTCTGAACAACATTTCTAACTTGCAAGTACCAGAAAAATGACTGAAAGTGAGACTGCAATGTGGAGATGCTTAAAGGTGGACGAGGTCCTGTCCCACCATGGCCAGAAAACAGAGTCCATCGGGCCTGTTTGAAGAGCGGGTTCTGACATAGAGGGGCATAAACAGAGAAGTCTGGAAGGTTCAGCAGAACCTGTGTTTGAAGTTCCTCACTGTTGGCATCTGGATCAGGAAGAAAACACGTATTTATGGTCAGAGAGTGATTAAAGAGAGAAACGTGTTTTTACTAAAGTACGTTTTTCTGATGTGCTGCTTGTTAAACATGATGAAACATTTAACAGAACAGTTCGAGCAACAAGACTGGCTCTGTGACTTTATTAAACAAGTTTAAATATGAAAGTTAAGCTTCTACAATGTGCACGACTCTGTACATATTCACTGTTACAGTAAACATATTTTAGTTTAGACAGTGTTCTGTGTGACAGACTGCTGAAGCTTACAGAGAATCCAGATGTTTGGATCGTTGGGTGTTTCTGTCTTTGTTCAGCGCTATGAGATGACTTGTTGTCGTAAATATGCGCTATACAAATAAAATGGAACTGAATTGAAAAAACTGAACACTAATTTATTCATCTAATTTAAAGATTAGAGCGAACACCATCCAGTATTTACATCATACACGTTTATTGGACTAATTTAAATGTTAAAATCCAAACACTCCCCTTGGAGCAGCACAATGTAATCGTCATGATTTACATGTTACTGATGCATTTGCTTAATGAGCAAATGTAGTCCAGTTACCATGATTTATATGGATGCTGACCAGATATTTATCAGACGAATTCAGACACTGAGGTTGATCCACACAGTGTTGTTGTTAACACAGATTCACCTAAATAAATATTCTGATTCAGGTCCAGCCATATTACATCTGATACACATTTGCTTTATTCAAATTTCAAACCATCTCGCATCACATGGACAATAAAATTAGCTTGCTAACTGAAACGCTAACATCAAACACTTCCTGTGAGCAGCAAACTGCCAAATCATCGTATGATGCATTTTATTGATGTGCT